CTTCCTCAGAACTGGACCCAAAACGTTAACTCTGTTTTTTCCTTCACAGATGCTGCCAGACATGCTGAGCTTTTCCAGCAACTTCTGTTTTTGTGTCTCATATAATTGGAGTTCCCTGATTGGGGCTGTTAACCTGGTCTAATCAGGGAGCCCTGGCTGTCAGACATAAACAGAAGTGTCAGGGGCTTTGCTCACTGTAGGAGCCAGCTCTGAGCTAGCTGGGTCAGTGTCATGTGCTATGCATGTGTAAGTAAAGGGTGACTTGATGACAGGATACCAGATCTCGTGGAGTTATTTCACCTGCTGTTGTGTGAACTTGTCACCATCTAGTGGAGTTAGTCAGAATTGTGCCTGATGTTTATTAACTTTGGAAGGCATTTAATTGGAAGTGTTTGTAACTAAACCAATCCCACATCGCTCTCTTGCAAATGCCAGGCTTCTTCTATTTTGTTCCCTACTTTCCCCCCACTTCCTTGCAGGCTTTTACTGTTCAGATCCATATGTAAGGAGTGTGCAAAGAAGCTGTGGCATTTTGCTGTTTGTGCGGTGGTTCTCTGCAGCCAGCCTTCCCTGAAACTAGGACACAATGTTCTTGTTTCACCTTCACTCTGCACGAGGAATTTTGTAATATTGGCAGAGTTGCAACTAGAGAAAGAATCTGACTAGATTTCCAAAAGTATTTTTTTTTAATTCACTCAGAGGATGTGAATGTTGCTGGCTGGGCCAGCATTCTTTGCCCATCCTTAATTGCCCTTAAGGTGATCCCTTTGTGAACCGCTTCAGTCCTAGTGGTGTAGGGACACCCACAGAGACGTTAGGAAGTGGGTTCCAGGATTTGGACCAAATGACAGTGAAGGAACGTCAATTATATTTCCGAGTCAGGATGGAGTGTAGCTTGTCAATCAACTGTGACGCATTTTGGAACACCTCAGCAGCCCAAAAGGCGCTACAGAAATGCAAGTTCTTCCCTTCCTCGCTCTGTGTGAATGTGCTGAATCAGTCTGAACTCAGAGAGCAGCTCCCCGCAGCTTCAGCCCATGGGCCTGCATTGAGTGGAATCTACAGTGAATTACTCCAACTTTAGACCTCTTTCTCCTTCTCTTGATCCAGGTGAGCCTGGGCAGCTGGTAGGCCGCATTAACCAGCAGGACCCCCTTCGCCGGTTTGATGGCTATGCCAATGAGTCGGCCACAAGCAAAAAGATTGCTTACAACGTCTTTAAGAAAGGAGACAGCGCCTACCTGTCAGGTACAAACTCCATTAAAGGTACAACTAATGATACACAGGACAAGTGTAGTGCATTTTACACACATTCTCTTATACTACCCATTTGACCCATGCCTCAGTAGCATGTTCGCCTCTGCGTCAGAAGGTTGTCCGTTCAAGTCCCATCCTTAAAATGTGAGTATAAAATCCAGGCAAACCTCCTGCTGTCAGAGGTGCTCTCTTACAGGTGAGATGTTAAGCCAAGGCCAAACCCCAGCCACCCCGCCCCAGGTGACGTGAAAGATCCCACAGCCCCACTTTGAATGAGTGGAGTGAGGAGTGATCTCCCTGGTGTTCAGGCCAATATTTATCCTGTAGCCAACATTCATTAAACATGATTGCAATCGTCACCTCCTTGTTAGATGTGGTAGCTTGCTGTGCCCAAACTGGCTGCAATGTTTCCCACGAGTGTTTGCAAAGCTTCACAAATCCTTCATTGCCCATTAAATGCCATCCTGCACAAAATTGTTTATTTGTTTCAGTGGGTGGTACTCTACCCTCTGTCAGAAGCTCATTCATTCGAGGCCCTCTGAAGAGATTTGAGCACAGAACCTAGGGTGACGCTTAATGTGGTATTAATGAAACATCGAACCCTGGCCCTGACTTTATCTTCAAATTAATGCCTACTCTCCCAGGGCATTGTTCGAAATCACCCAAAGTCGTGGTTTACAAGTTGGTGGAATCTTGCTGGATATATTTGCCTACACAGTAGTGACTACGCTGTGTTGCCTATTACATTCCTGTAATCCTGCCAGGAGTTCTTGAAATCCTTTTGATTTTTAGATTTGTCTGCTGAGTAACTTGAATGTGAAACGTTCATGCTTCTTTAATGGGATCTTCCTGTTTAATTCCGGAGCTCCTCTTAATTCCCTTTGCCTTGTCTCCGGCTTGCAGGTGATGTTCTGGTTATGGACGAGCTCGGCTACATGTACTTCAAGGACAGGAGTGGCGACACTTTCCGGTGGCGAGGGGAGAACGTTTCAACCACGGAGGTGGAGGGCTGCCTGAGTCACCTCCTGAACATGACTGATGTGGCAGTGTACGGGGTGGAAGTGCCAGGTGGGCAGGCTGCTCAGTTATCCCCACTATTCCCCTTCCTCAGTACTGGGCGCAATACTCATCTGTCCTCAAGCCCTGTTAAGCAGAGTGTGGAAGATGTACCACAGTAGGCCGTGTTTCTTGCATAGATTGCAGAAAGGGTGTTTCCCCTGGCTGGGTGGTCGAGAACCAAGAGACCCAGTCGCAGGATAAGGGGGACAGCTGTTTAGGATTGTGACAAGGATGAATTTCTCTGCTCAGAGGATGGCGAATCTTTGGAATGATCTGCTGCAGAAAGTTGTGCAGGTCAGTCATTATGTTCAAGGCTGAGATTGTTAAAACCATGAAGGGATACGGGGATAGTGCAGGTAAATGGTTGTGAAATAGAAGGTCAGACATGATCCTATTAAATAACAGAGGAGTCTCAAAGAGCTGAGTGACCTACTACTGCTCCTGCTACTTATGTTTATCTTAACACGGGTGTCACTGGCTTGGCTGCCAATTGTCGCTCATTCCTGCTTGTTCTTGATGAAGTGCTGCTTGGCTACCTCATCAAACTGCTGCAGTTCATATGGTGTAGGTACATCCCAATAGTGATCGGGAGGGAGTTCCAGGATTTTGATCCACTGACACTGAAGGAAGGGCAATATATTTCCAAGTCACGATGGTGAGTGGCTTGGAGGGGAATTTGTAGGTAGACGTGTTCTGTGTAACTGAGGACCTTGACCTTCTAGGTGGGAGTGGTTGCAGATTCAGGAAGGTGTTGTCAGAAGAACCTGGGAGTTACTCCAGTGTATCTTGTAGATAGTACACTCTGTTCCAATTGCGTGTCAGTAATGAAGGGAGTGAATTTTGAACCTATTGCAGGTGCCAATTAAATGGGCTGCTTTGCCTTGGATGATGTTGAGCTTCTTGAGTGTTATTGAAGCTGTGATAACTGACAACTAAAGTGACTTAAATTTTACGCAGACCTGCAGTAGGGTTAGGGTGGCTTGGCCAGCTAATGACTTGGCGTGCAGGCATAATAATATTTTTGGCTTTGTTTGAATGTGCAGTCTGTCTTGATTGAGAAATCCAGCAATGATTTACACTGGCGCTCATGGAAACAAAGTGCAGCACTCCCACATCATTCACCAATCATTCCTGAGTTGTGGGCACCAATGAACAAACAAAACTACAACAGAAGATATGGAACTTTTTAACCTAGTTACTTAAAGATTGCAATTGCCAACAGTATTTTGTTCATACTCAGCAAACTGGCTGTGCCCCACAGAAACTTCTCGAAAGCACTCAATTGGTCAGGTCAGGCAGTGTTTAGGGGGCTGTGGTGGATCTTGACATTTTGTCAGAACTAAAAGCAGCCTGCCATTTCATGGGGACAGTAAATTGGTGGATATGTTAAGTGGATAATAAGTCAGGGACATGGAGTAATACTCATAAGAGCCATAAAAGCCCCATCTTGTTTATTAATATCCTTTGGGGAAGGAAATCTTCTGTCCTCACTTGGTCTGATCACTGTGTGACTCTAGACCCACAACAATCTGGTTGATGTCTTACTGCCCTTAGAATTGGCCCTAGCCATTTGTGGCTCACTAACACCTTCTAAAGGTCAGGAAATGCAGGCCATAAATGCTGGTCTTACCAGCAATGCCACCATTCTGTGAGCGACAAGAAGTGGCGGTTCTGAAACTTCGTGTCTTTCTCTGTCCACGGAAGTTGTCTGGTCCACTGCAGTGTTTTGAGCCTCAGTCCCTTGTTTTCCCACATTTGGAGTATTGTTTTTGATTGCCTGTCCCACTGACATTTCTGTTCCATTCCCCTGCTAGGTATCGAAGGGAAGGCTGGAATGGCTGCCATCGCTGATCCCGACAACAAAATCGATCCTGACCTCTTCTACCAGGACTTGATAAAGGTGTTACCCCCGTATGCCAGGCCAGTCTTCCTCCGCATCCTCCCTGTTGTGGACACCACAAGTATGTTACAGGAAGGATACTATTAAACTGGAGAGGGTTCAGAAAAGATTTGCCAGGGTGTTGTTGGGAATAGAGGGTTTGAGTTATAAAAATAGGCTGAGACATTTTTCCCTAGAGCGTAGGAGGTTGAGGGGTGACCTTATTGAGGTTTATAAAATCATGAGGGCTATAGATGAGGTAAATGACAAGGATCTTTTCCTTAGACTGGGGGAATTCAAAACTATGGGACATATTTTTAAGGTGAGAGAAGAAAGATTTAAAAAGGACACAAGAAGCAACTTTTTTACGCAGACAGTGGTTCGTATTTGGAATGAACTTCCAGAGAAAGTGGTAGATGTGGGTACAGTTACGACATTTATAAGACATTAAGGTAAGATCATGAATAGAAAAGGTTTGGAGGGACATGGGCAAGTGCAGCCAGGTGGGACTAGATTAGTTTGGGAACATGGTCGGCATGGACTGGTTGGGCCGAAGGGTCTGTTTCTGTGCTATATGGCTCTGTGTAGCTAATGGCATGCAGCAAGTCTCCCTCATACGGAGGTGTAGTTGTGTGTTTGGGGCTATGTGGTATCTAGTTTTAATTTTTCCCATTTGCAGAAGTGGATATGTCTTGTTTCCCTGTCCCAGGCAATGCAGTACAGTAGATTTCTCCTGACAGACCATGATCATCTCAAACTTGCAAGAGAAGATGAGGCAGAGGCCTAATAGCACACCCTGTCTTACCCCTTTGACTGGAGTTTGCTTTCCTCTGGTAATTTGCCGGCTAACGGGGAGACCATTCAGCCTCTTGCAGCCTATTCCACCACTCAATAGATTCTGGCTGGAAATGAATCTTCAACTCTATTTATCCATCTTGGTTCCACTTCCCATAACGCTGTCCTTAACAAAACTCAACCCATCTCAGGGACTGCACTCCCCCCACCGGCCTCAACTGCTTTCTGGGAGGAGAGTTTCTAGATCTTTACTTCTCTGTTTGTGAAGATGTGTTGCCTAATATCAGCCCCAAAAACCCACCATTAATTGTGAGGTTACCCTCTCCTTGCCCCTCTTCATTGCCTCCCACCAGAAGAACTGGTTCCTCAATCAAACCTATCAAGTGATTTCGCAACAACTACTTGATTAAGTCTTTTCAGATGAAGCTTCTTGCTGTGTAAGCTCTGAACTCCCCCTGGCCACAATTGTGAGTGGTATCACTTGTAACTGGGATCAAGATGAATTGTCTCTGCTGGCTCCCCTCCCTCCCTCTGCAAAATTTAACATTTTGTGCTTTTACTTATTTTCCGGTTCAGGGAATATCTCTGTCTCTGTGCTAGGGATCCAGTCATCAGATTTCCAGCAAATGTTTCTCCTTCCTTCCTTCAAATCACCTTGGTTTCCAAGTCACCCAAGGATCCCTGTACATCCCACGGTGATACCACCCACGATCGCAGGGTCAGTCCTCGGGCTGTGTAGGAGCTACCCCACTTTGGTCTCCTTTCCCTATGATGATGTGCATTCTTTCCAACCTTTGAATCCAGCCCTTCTTTAGCCGGACATCAGGAAGACTGCAGGCATCATTCTGATTCACTTCTTGAACTCCCTGTGACTTGGACACAGCAAGGCTGTACAGACCTTGACTTCCTGTCTGAATCTGGGCTGACCTGCAAGCTCCACAACCCTTCATTGCCGAAGGCTGCTCATTATCGTATTTGCGATGTTTCTCACCTTGGCTCCACCATTAGAACCCCTTGAGTGTGCTTTTGCCTCTTGTCAATTAGTTCTGCCCACCCCAACTTCCAGCATCTTCGGAAATTTTTGTAGACGTGCTGTAAAGTCGCACCAACAACCTTTCTGTGCCCTGTTTCCACCGTCCTCTCCTCACTTTCGCCCATACCTTCCCCGCCACAGTCTTCCAAGTCTGCTGTTCTGTACGCCTCCCTCTCCCTTCCCTGTTGGAGTTCCAGCCTCTGTGATGGTAGAATGCTTACCATGGGAAATGATGTTCCTCCCAGCCCATGTGCTGGGCGGTGTGGGCAGCAACCCTGGGTGTTGATCTGAAGAGGGATCTGATGCTGCTAGTTATACCGTTAATGTTTACAATGGATTGGAGTTTGAACAAATGTGGATGAGCCCTAAGGTACCGATCCTTGCAGTGATTTTTCCCTTTGCTGATTTTAAATTAAAACATCCACACATAAATCCCATCAGAGATAGTAGGGACTGCAGATGCTGGAGAATCTGAGATAACAAGGTGTAGAGCTGGATGAACACAGCAGGCCAAGCAGCATTAGAGGAGCAGGAAGGCTGAA